CCCCAAAACCCCAAAACCCCAAAACCCCATTAAGCCAATCTATCAAATTAAATTAAGAAATATAAATTAATAAATGAGTGACATATAAGTTTTTATAGACGTAGGATTATTAGCAATTGTACTAATGCCCTTTTATTCATTTTTCAAAGGTATTTTTACTTAGAAGACTACCTACTATTATCAAAGGAAAGTTGTCAAGAAGAATATGCTGATAGTGGTAGCTAAACCAGAGGATGAAGCTGAATTTTTCTTGCCAGTAATTGATTACATGAAACGATTCAATCACATCTACATATTAGCCATCTCAAATGGGAGTTAAGATGGGAATGGGAAGCAAAAAGAGAAGGAATTCGCTGCTAGTTGCAAATTATTAGGTATAGAGGATTATGCTGTATATGATGAACCTGATTTGCAATTTGGGGAAAAAGAGTTTTGGGAGTCTGATAGAGTAGCAGATGTAATCACCAAGCATTTGACCAGTAGATAGGGAGAAGGTGAAATTGATTTTATCATTACCTACGACGCTAATGGTTAGACTTATCATCCAAATAGAATGGCAGTTCACAGAGGAATATCTAAAGTGTTTGAAGATCGCAAATTTACCTTAGATGTAATGACTCTCAGAACAGTGGGTAAATGTAAAAGATATTCTGCTTACTTTGATTGCCAAAATGTAATGTACGACACTATGAACTACTTTAAAATATTTCCAAATGCTGCTATTAAAGCAAGAGGCTGCTATAGCACATCTAATAAATCCAGGAATATCCTCAAGGCAATATTCTGCAGATATACCTATTTGAATGATCTTGAGCATTTCACTCACACTCCTGAGAAATATGGAGAAAAGAAGAAAGAAGAAGTTAAATAATCTGATTAAAAAGAGATTAAAGAATGAACATTTTTTAAGAAATTTCTAGAATTTTTAAATGAACTAATACAAATAAATTTATTTTCTTAATCATATCATCTCATGGGGTTTTGGGGTTTTGGGGTTTTGGGG